AACTGCATGCACAGGGGCTAAGCGCTGAAAATGTGCGACTAGCAGATACCCTGTAATTAATACTGGCAAATGTATATAAAGTGTTTCTTGAAGATGGAATCTTAAGTGAAAATATTTATTATTTTAAGTGAATAAATAATGATTTAAGGTAAACTAGAAATATAAATAACATATTTTGTAAGATAATATGGCCATACTTCATAAAATAATTGTAAAATTATAATTTTAGTTGCTTTTCTCCATTTAATTGAAAAACTTGCTGCATGCAATCCGCAGGGCTTAGCAGCATCATGAAAATTTATTGCCCAGCTACAGGGTATCAAGGAGTCCAGCCTCATGCCATGCTACCAAAAAAGATGGCGCCTTGCTGTGTGCAAAATTGATCAGAGGATTCCCTGCCGTTTGAACTATGACGCGATATGTCATCATATTTCCTCCAATGCAGTCTCTGGCCACACCCTTGGCCCTCTCGTCCTGCGCCCTTTGCTGTTTGCTGCTGTTGCCATGCATATTTCTCACATTGTCAAAGGTTTTCCATGCAATTCACAAGACCGCAATTCCAGTTGCCCAGTTGCCCTGTTGTCCTCTTGTCCGGTTGCTCACTTGTCCAGTTGCCCAGCTGCCCAGTTGATTTGCGTGCTGCTCCGCCCTCAGCTTCTGCTCCTGCTCCTGCTCCTGCTCCCAGGGCCAACTTTTTCGTGTTTTACTTGTGTTTAGCATTTGAGCTAAAGCATTTATGGCCCCGGCTACCGCAAAATCAATTTTCCACATAACTTGAAGTCGAAGTTGCTGTGGCGCCTTTTGGCCAACTGTGAGCAACGGTGGCTCATTCGGCCATACTCCGCTGCTTTTATGGCCATTTCTCCGGCAATTTTATTGGCCAACTGCCCTTCGCTTTGACTAATGGCCGCTTCATGTTGCTGCTTCTGCCGACGCGACGTTTTTTTTATGCACTTCCTCTTTTTTGCGTTTTCTGGTTTTGGCTCTTTCTCTCAGTTTTGCATTATTTGTTTTGTCATCTTTTTGGCAGCGCTGTTAAATATGATTCAACTATGATTTATTAGATTGAAATGGCATGCCATAAGATTGCGAAAATTGTAAATAATGTCGTAAATAATAAAAAATAAACAAAAACATTTATAACTATAAATCTGTAATTCAGAAGCTTCTCCAAAAAAAAATGTTAACACTATAAAGTTTAGCTTCGACTTATCTATATATATAAAAATAAATAATGTTTCTAATTTCAATAATACAAAAAGACAATACACTTCTCATTTTGTTAATGCATTTTAAAAATCTTAATTACAGTTTATTCCCTGTCAAAAAGTATGAAAGCTGGATTAATTAAGTAGATTAAGGCAAAGCTTTTCATTAATCAGCTACAAACTTTGGCTGAACGCTTTTTAAAATAGATTTAGAGAAAGCATTTTGGAATATGATTGAGAAATGAAGTAAAATTTAAGTAAGCCAAATCTCACTTATGGGCAGCTCTCAAGGCTGCCTGAAAAAGTCAATCAACTAATCCTCTTGCCACAAATCCAACTACAGCTCGTCTCTCTTTGTTTTCGTATCCATCAGTTCATTAAAAAACTTCATTATCCCATGCTATAAAGAAAATCAATTTTGATTTACATCGAATAGCAACAGCAAGAGCAAATAGACATATATCAATATGCTCGAGCGTATTGTGAGGCCCCCCAAATGGCGCAGGCGCATGTTCCAAGGGGCTGAAGGCGCGAGTGGGGTGGGGGGAGCACTGCCAGCGCTGACCAACGAAACGTTCCATCATTCCAAAGTGTTGATGATGGAAAGTGTCCCACTGTGTACAACAAAAACAACAACAACAACAACAACAATGAGAGTGCCAATGCGGCCAGTGCGTCTACAATGGAACGCAGCATAGAATAGAATGAAGAGAATAGAACAAGAAGAAGAAGAAGAAGACAACGAACAACAACAACAACAATCAACGCTAATAATGCTTAATCAATGTTACACTTTACAATAAGAGAACAATCAAAAAATAGAAGAGATATATAAAATATGGAATCGAACATAAAAAACAACAGAAATGAAAAAACTAAACTTCATTTGTGCCATGATTTATCGTTTTTTCATTACCAAACAGAGACAGAGACAGAGACAAAGAGAACAAGAGAGGGCGAGATAGAGAGAGAGAAAGAGGAAGAGCTAGCCCACTTCAAAATATAATTCACACCTGTAAGCATGTGGAGGCCCTTCACATAGTAATTGAAATCGCTAGAAAGAGACAGATTGAGAGCGGCATAAAATAAATCGATTTGAGCATTGAACAATTCGTTTTAGGGAAACAATGCGCTAAAATTTGTTGCGCACAAATTGTTGTTATTCGAGTGTATTCAATAATCATTTATCTTCGATTACAAAAACAAAACAGAATACAAAAAATATCTATTTATATAGAAATAAAAAGAAAAATCACCTTAAAGTTCACAATGAAACAAAGCTTCATTAGCTGCAAATGAAAATCGGTTAATTGCAAATGTTTTTAGCCAGCGAACAGCTGTAATTGCTTGGATTAACTGAGCCAAAAAGTCTAGCTTAAGTCACACATCAAATTTCATTAGAATCGCAAGTGATTTAAGGATTATTTCCATTCACATTTAATGGGCTCTCGATCAGCATTTACATTTCTATTCTTAAGTCGTCTCACAGCACGCAGCTTTTGTCTGGCTTCAGCGATGCAGGAATGGGGACAAGTCCTTCTTGTGGCGGCTTTGTTAGAGCACGCGCTTCGCGCTCACAGAACAGAAGTCGACAGCAGCTGTTTTAAGCAGATCTTAGGCCCAGCATCCTGCCACATGTCAATCCACAGGCGCTCCACATGGATTGCCCAGGATTGCCGTTGCCCACAATTGAGGTTAGAAGGCGTGCGTGTTCGTCAAAAGCAAAATGCGAAGTGCGCCCAGCACGAGTTAAGATTTAATTTAGTGTACATAATTTGTTTAGTCGTCCTGCAAAATTGCATAATTATTAATGGTTTGGCCACTCCACACACATACACACGCACACACACATTTAGGTCAAAGGACCTCGACTGCTCGTTGTCCTTAATGAGCGCGCGACGCGCTTAACTCTCAGCCTAATATGATCAGCTAACTCTCAAAGGGGTATATTGGTTTGAATACTAAAATGGAAAGTTTGAATATTTAAAAATGATAAAATACATATTAACTTTTTGAAGTGTTTCGACTATAATATATAATATCTTAAGATATACGTTCAAGGGGATATGCTGAAAAGGTAGAGGATATTCAGACGGAATACGGTGTATATATTTCTTATTATAAAATAAAAATATAAATTTAAAAAAGCTCACTTTTAAAATTGATTTAAAAAATCTTATATTTAATGGCAACTTAATATATTATATTTTGTACACATATTAATACGTATTCATACACGAGACAATTTTTTTTTGTATATCTTATATTATAATTTAAAAGTGTCTTAAAGCCCTAGATAATTCTTTTCCATATGCTTCGACAGGGTATTGAGCAGTCGAGTGCCGCCAACGGCTCGCCGCTTGCCTTGTGGCTGCGTCCCACGTGCGTTTGGGCATCCGCTGCGCCATTTTGAGACACCGCAAAGCCAACACATTTGCATATTGGAAAATTATAGGCTGCGCGAGCAGAGCCAACGCCTGCTCAGCTTCATACATACACACAGATATACAAATGTGTGTGCGTGTGTGTGTGTGTGTGTGTGTGCTGCTTCTGGCTTTTGTGGTGCTGCGGTGGCTGCGGTTGCGCAGAAGGCGACGCGCGTGGCTGCATGGTGCCGCAATGGGAGGGCGCCGCTGTCGACGATGACGACGACCCCCAAGCGACCTCCAGCCGTGCGAGGACTTGACTCTTAACTGGCAGGCTAACAGGCTGGCTGGCTGGCAGACTGGCAGACAGTCGGACGAATGGACGGCCGACAAAAAAAGAGTGCACGAAAAAATGCAAGCAATGCGGCAACGTTTCCGACTCTGATGAGCTGTAAAACACGCGTTTTCATAATCTTATTAAAAGCCAACCAAATGGGCGAGAGCGAGCGAGACAGACAGAGAGGGCGGCGCAAACGGTTGCAGCTCAACGGCCATTTGACATGCCAAAAAACACTTCTGTCACAGCAGCAGCCGCAGCAGTCGCCGCAGCAGCGGCTGCGCATCCGTAGGTGGTATCTGGAGAAGGTTGGCTAAAGCGTGACTTCGCGTACTCGTAAATTGTGCGCCGCATGCGCTTTGCCAATTATTTAGCCATAATAAACTTGATATCGATGCGCGATCTATGCTAAGATCGAAGATATGCGAAAAGTAGCCGAAGCGGAAGCTGCGCTTATTTAATTTCAATTTTATTCTTAATATTTATAGAGGCGGCAAGTCAAAGGCCAACGAAATGCTACATAAAATATTGCTTTACTGCACAACATTCAAATTCGTAATAGCTCTGATAATTTTCGTTACTAAATTATCAATTTAAGCTCGAGAGTGGCGCGAAAGTTTACAATTTGAATTTCCAGAGCTGCCACCTGGTTGAAAGTAAATGTAATTCGTCATATTGGTACTATATATACCTGGTCACACTTTTTACTCAAAAAAAACCGCTTAACGCAAGCCATCTGAAAATGTCTCATTACTAATTAGCTAAAATAAGTAAAAAACATTGTAAAATTGGTGATACACATTTAATATTTATTTTAGCTTACCAAATATGTAATAGTCGTGCAAACTAAAATGAACAAATGAGCAGAAATGAATGAGAGAGTATTAGGAACAGTGTGTACAATCTTTAAACGGGAAATATATTTCTTTGGTGCAGTTTGCAACTTTTTGTCATTTATTATATTAAAATAAAAGTAAAAATACATATGTAATTTTAATTCATACATAGATATATTTAAGTTGCATTTAAATTTTGCATTTTTAATCAATCTTCAACTCAACTGTTGCGAAACTGTTGAGCATCATACTCATCAGCTTATCGTGGTGAATATAATCAGCGACTACAGCTGCTGATGAATGAACATGCAGTAGTGAGGTGTAAAACATAGCAAAACGTAAAATTTCTGCGTTTATCGCAAAAAACCGCAACAAAACAAATGCAATAAACATTTAAGCTACAAGCAAATAAAAGTGTAAACATGAAAATAATTAAAATCGCTAGAACATAAGCCAATTGTAAATATAATAGAGGTAGTATTTCAACCGGTAAATACCAAGCGAAGGCCCAAAAAAAAAAAAAATGCCAGCCACAATGGAAGGCAAAGTAGTAGTAGGAGTATGTTGAATAAGTGTGTGTAGTGTGTAGTTGTACGAAGCAGCGTGCAAGCCGAAACTGGCAAACTGAAAAGAAGAAGCGGAGTGAAAAACAAGAGAAAAAAACAGAAACAAGTGCAATCTAGTGAAAACAATAAACGACAAAAATAAAAGGAAAATGATACGCGATCCACAAATAATACAGTAATCTAATTGTGCGCGAGACAAAGAGAAAACAAACGCCGGGCATGTTAAAGCACCAGCTGACGGAGCAACAACAACAACTGCAGGGGGTAGTCGGGAGAGGAGCAGACCGAGGAGGAGCAGGAGCAGTGGGCAGCTGCATTAAAGAGCAGTAATAATAATGTTGCTGGCATCAGCTGGGCAAACGGCGCCCTTCACCTACGACTCCAGTGCCACACGAAAAATCAACAGCAACARCAACAATAGTGGCAATACGAGCAGCAGCAGCAACAATGTTAGCAATGTCGGTGCAGGCAAGAGCACACCCAATCAATCAATTGGAGGAGCGGGCACGTTGGCGGCATGTCCAGCTAGCGCGAGCAGCATTGCCAGCACTGCGGCCACTGCGATAATGAAAACGCTCTCTGTGCGTCTGCATCGGGGCACCGAATTCATCAAGGACACTGTGCAAAAGGCTCTGGTTATGAATGGACCAACTCCTGTGTTAGCGTCTCAGTTGGATAACAGTTTCAAAAGGAAACTATTAGGTGCCGGTGGCATCATGGGCACCAGTGGTACCTCCAACTCCAACTCCAGTACCAGTTCCGGTTCTAGTACCAGCAGCAGCAGCAGTAGCAATCGTCACTTTGTGCTCAGCCAGCCATATGTATTCCCAACGGCTGATTTTATGCGGCAGTACACGGTGCCGCCAGGTGTGCTGCATCGCTCGGCATCGGCACGGAAGCGGAATGCCAGTACGGACAGCTTACTCATGGATCTGTGTGTGTTCAAGCCCATTCGGCCCATGCCCATAACACCCATAAAAATGTAAGTAGCAGGCAATTTAGTGGGAGTTCCTTAAAACTCTTGCAACAATTACCTTTTTAGTAACAAAGCACGCGGCTTCGAACTGAAGCGACCTAAATTTGTGCCGCCCGCCGCCAATATGTATAGTGATGTCGACGATGATGATGACGAAGATGAGGAGGAACAAGAGCAGTGCGAGGAGGATTTAGTTCGTAAGGAACAGGAGCTTATATTTAAGCCAAAGCTCAGGTAAGCTAATCTTTGGAATTGCATATTGAAGCACATTTCGCTTGAGAGTTGGGAGCTAAATCTTAACGATTGCAGTACACTGTCATTGCCACAACATGCCACCGCATCCGCTTTTGTGCCACATGAAGCCAACAGCAACAGCAGCAGCACCAGTTGCACTCAACCAACACCAGCCCATACCAAGGACAACAGCAACGCAGACACCTCAGGCACAGGCGCAGGCTCATCCGAAGTGAAAGCCAAGCCAACCACTAAGCGTCGACGTCGTGCGCCGCTTTTAACAGGCAAACGACGTCGCAAAGCAGGCGGAGCAGCAGCAACAGCATCAGCAACTGATGAATCAGCAGCCACCGTCACCGCTAAAGCAACATCTGCCGCTGCATCATCCAAACGCAAACGACGTGCCGCAACCAAGAGCACTTCCATATCGCCAATACGTCGATCACCGCCCATGACTCGCCAACGTGCGCGTTTACAGATCTCCACCAGCAACAACTAAACACTACCACTCCCATCTCCCTCCATCCATCTGTTTCATTCTCTGTTTGTGTCTAGGTTTAGTCAGTGGAACGCCGAGTAATTCAATGCCCAAAACGGTGTATCATATAGAGAAAGAGAATAACAAACAATAGCCACAAATCCTGTCTTTGGTTCTAGTTACTGTATAAATCTAAGCGCGATTTCCATTGTTTTGTGAGCCGAAGCAAGTGAAGTGCCAAATGGCAACAATAAACAAAAGCTAACAGCCCAAAGCAAATATTTATCATAAGCTACCCCAGCTACCCCTATCCTATTCAGTTGTAACCCGAGCTGAGCATTTCGATTTGTTTATAACCAATGATTGATTATATATTCCTCGTATTTTATATATGTTTATCCGACTTGTGTTCGATTTGTGTGAGATGTATTCGTTAAATTAGCTTTAAATATTTCATCATTTATGTAAATGTCTAATTTGGGTAATTGTTCTCATTTTCACTTCACTTGCTTTAAGTAAATATGCCTAAATTATTATATATGTATATCGACATATATATATTATAACATAAACTGGTCTTCAAGACTGATGATAAACTAAACGAATATTATAAAGAGAAGCACTCATCTAAGGGCAACTGATATAAAAACTAAAAACAAAAACCTTTAAGAATTTAACAAAACAAAACCTAAAAATTAAGAAAAAAGTATTAAAAAAAATGCTAAGAAAATTGTAATATAAAAGAAAGCGGAATACAAATTGTAATTTATAAGTCATTCCTGATATGATATTTTGATTTTAATACATATACAAAATCTATATAAACATATATATAATTTGTCGGCCCATCTATCGTTTTCAGTAGGCTCTTCAAATATTCTTAAATTATAAATCGGACTGCCTCTGAGGCAAAAAATGGGAAGAAGAAGAAGAAAAAACAACAGTAAAAAAAACGCCACAACTAACATTAATTTTCCTACATTTAATTAAGTTTGTTAGACTTTATAGCTTAGAAAACAAAATAAACAATTCATTCACGTATAAATAAAATAAATACAAAATATATATATACAAATTATATATACATAGTATATGTATAAATATTGATTATAGTGCATGCCGGTCAAATCAACTGTGTGTTGTGATATGAACTAATTTATAAAAACTTAAAAACAAAATGCAAAAAAGTCAGCAAAATTCTTGTTTTGCTTTAAACAAAGAAAAAAGAGCCGGAAACTTAAGACAACTCTCATCCAATCACAAAGGAAAAATAATTAATTAGCAACAAATAGTATATTTAAAATTACAATTATATAATGTCTAAGCATTGCGATACCAACGAATCGGGCAAAGTAGCTGCAGTCACAGATCATCTAAAAGCCCAAAGCATTATTCAAGTTTCGAATTCTAATTGCAATCAACAAAATTCAAATCTATGAATAATACGATAATAAGAGCAAAACTACTTAAATGACAAAACAAAAGAAAACCAAAATAATTAAGCAAAGGAAACACACAGCGAGTTGTATGCGTCAATAAAAACATCAAACATAATGTAAATCTAATTTATGTATTTGTCTGATTAAACAATGGGATAAGATATAACAATTTCCACGGACAAAGAGTTCCAACTTCAAGTATTTGCAGGGTATCCAGCTATTGTCTGTAAACTCTACTTAACTCTCTAATCCTAGAAGGTAATTGGGTACGTAGAGCTCATTTAAGTCAACCCCATCTATTTCGCATTTCATTCATCATAATCTGTCATTTTAGTGGGCATCACATTCCATAGATCCTGCAGCTTATAGCCATCCGGTATACGCTCCATGGCAAAGCCCAGTTCCTTGCAGTAGATGGGCGTCTGCAACTGTTGCTCCGTGGACAGCGCACCCGAACAGCCTGCGGCCAGATAGCTGTTTAGCTTCGTGTTTATCTCGCGCTCCTGTCGCTCGTCCAGCTCGTGATAGTCCTCGATTTTGAACTGTGTTGCCTGCGCAGCTTCCTCGGCGGCGGCTGCAACGCGCTTGCGCGCCTCCTGCGGATCGTAGTGGACACCGAAATTTGGCTGATCTGTGTAGATAGTGTGCAGGGAGCTCAGCTCCTTGAACAACTCAGTTAAACGCTCCACGGGATCAATGCGAAAGCCCAGTACATAACCGCCGCCCGTCTCGGCGGTCTGTATGACCAGAGCGGGACCATATTTGGACTCGCGTATGCGCAGCTGAAAGTGAATTAATTAAGGAGCGATACACCTTTCGGGTCAATGCATGGACTCACGCTTTCGATCTGCAGGTAGGGCAGGCTGATGTTAAAGGTCTCATTGGCATCCGCATACCAGACCAGACGTATGTTGGTCACCACAAAACTGCCCAGGTTGCCCTGATCGCTGGACAAGTTCCAGACGCCCTGCACCTGGCTGTACACCTGCTCATCCGGCAACAGAGTCAGCTGACCCGCCTGCACTATAGCTCCCCGCAGCTTCAGATCCCTATAAAGAAACGTGCGCTGATACAAACTAAAGATAGAGAGAGAGAGAGAATTAAGTGGAGATAATTGGTAATTTTAGCTGAGGCTTGCCACTCACAGATGAACATCGAAAACGCTGGCAAAGATGGGCTGATCCCGACGCGCCGTCTCGCCGGAAACATCCGTGAAGAGGAACTCAAATCGGGTCTCATTGCTGATGGCCAAAATGTAGAGCGCCTGGCTAGGTATGCGGCCCTTGGTGTGCATGTGCACCACCCGTGTATTAATGGTTCCAATGCGAGCATATCCAATGGCTGCAATTAGAACAACAATTATAGCCTAATCGATCTAGAGGAAAAGGGAACTGATTAAAGCTCTCTAAGTCAGACAGTCGGACTAGGAAAAAATCTTTAAAATGTTCTTCAAGTCCCTCACACAAATTAAACTTCTTGTGGACCAGCGAGTGCCAAATGATGCGCAGATTGGTAACCAGCAGTTTCCCCGTATCTCCGGGATTACCCTTGCTGTCCTCTATGTGATTGATGGTATCCAATATTTTCTCGCCGCAATGCAAACGTGTGTGTCTGCAAATTAATTAGAAATTAGAATTTGTGCTTAGCTTAAATTGCATAACTCACAGTTGAGGCACATCAAACTTGACTTCCTTGTCCTCCCAGAGCAGATTCTGCTGGGCTATATCCGCTTTGCTCAAAGTCGCCAACATTTTTTCCCCGAGAATATGAACTTTCTGTTTTGGCCTAAAGGCTTACAGCCCCTTTGTTGTTGCTAGGTAACCAGAGGGCATATCAAGCAGAATAAATACTCTGTGTTATAAATTAGTTTTACAGCTCTGAATATCCACTATATAGAGTCCTTATCCAATTATATTAAACAAGATAACCTTTTTAAATATTATTATTATTATTATTATTACATATAATATAATTGATATATATTTGACTACAATACAGATTATGTAAAAAACTTATGCTTCGTTTGTGAAAAAGTTTTGGTCAAAAATGCCGCTAGCTCGACTTTAGTCTTAGGACTGCATTTTAGCCACGCTAATTAATGGAAATGTGTATTGTTTGATTTTGTTGCATATTTAGAATATTGAAATATTATACTGACAGCTTAAATTGTAGGACACATCGAAACAAACACAAGGCAATCGGTGCAAACGAAACAGCTAAATTATATTTACAGCAGGCCATAAATTGCACGGAGGAACTGCGTCCGATTTCACATGATAATCTGCGGCTCCGGCACGCTGGCTGCAATGCTCTTGTGTGGCAGCACTTGACCCCCATTTATGTACAGCTCGTCCTTGACAATGACATCCTCACCCAGCACTGTGATGCCCTCAATGCGCACCCAGCGCCCGACCGTCGAACGCCAGCCCACGATGCAGGAGTCCAGCCAGGAATGCGAGCGCACATTGGCGCCCTTTAGGATGGTCGAGCGTTTGATACAGACACCATCTTCAATGACCACATCGGGTCCAATGGTGACATTTGGTCCAATGCGACAGCCTTCGCCAATCTTGGCAGTTGGATCCACCAGCACATTGCCCACCACTCCGGGGCCCGTGTACAGTTTGCTCGATTGCTTCTGCCGGAGCGAACTAAGGTAGAGGCACATACCTGCAATCGAAAAAACATAATTATATCTTGTGCTTTTGCTTCGATGAGCATCCCCCAGCCCGGCCCCCGGAAAAACAGCTTATCAGCAATTATGGCTCATTAGAAACGTTCTATCATGCATTGGGGCTGTTTGTAGCAGCGGATATTCCAAGAAACCAGATAAAATTGATTAAAGACACGTCGCTGTACGTTAAGCTGATAAGGCCAATTGTTAGATAGCAGCAACTATGACGCACCGGTTAAAAAGTCTTTGGGCTGTCCAATATCCATCCAAAATCCGGACAGCTCCATGGCATACAGCTCCTGTTGCTGCGCCATATTCGGAAATACTTCCTTCTCAATTGACGTGGGCTTCACTTCGATGCGATCCAGCACCGTGGGATTGAATATATAAATGCCGGCATTAATCTTATTGCTGACGAACTCTTGGGGTTTCTCAATAAAATTTGTGATGCACCCAAGCTCATCGTAGAGCACGACGCCATATTTGGAAGGCTCTTCCACTTTGGTCACCACAATGGTGCCCTCTTTGCCATGATTGCGATGGAACTGCATGAGCTGCTTGAACGGGAAATCACAGATCACATCCGAGTTGAGCACAAAGAACGGCTCCGAACTGGCCGACAGTAGTGGCTTCGCCAGCGCCAGTGGCCCAGCTGTGCCCAACGGTTCGGTTTCATGTGAGAATATCAGCTCAACTCCCAGTTTGTCTGCTTCTACTTTCAGCTCTTGCTCCATTTGCTCTGCCCGATAGCTGACTGCTAATATGACCTACATTGCAGAGAATTTTCTTTATGTAACTGTTGTTGTTGGTGGGAAACTAAAAACTCACTTGACGGCATCCAGCGTCGACTAGAGCCTCTAGCTGATGCAACAATATCGGCTTGTTGGCGAACTCCACTAAAGGTTTGGGTGTGCTAAGTGTCAAGGGACGCAGACGTGTGCCATAGCCACCAACCAGGATGAGTGCCCGGGCACCAGAGCCGGCAGCTGTGTTCGGTGAACCACACATTTTTGTATGTAATCGTAGTAACTGGGACACGTCACAGATGAATCAACAGAAAATTCTCAACGTGACCAGTTTGTGTGTAATGTAATAATCGACGAATGTCGACAAAGCTGCAGCTCTAGTTTGTCAATGTTTGCCTCTTCAGTTTTTGTTGTTCTTTCTTCTGGTTCTGATAAGCCGCTTGTTGTTGTCTTTTGATGACTGTTGGCGCGTTCTTATTGGGAGCGTCTCTGAATGCACGTAGAGCTGAGTGTATGTGTGAGTTTGAGAGTGTGCAGATACCTATCGACGTGACGTATTTTTTTTTTCTGATTTGCTTAAACTTATTTATTAAAATAGTTTAGTTCTGGTACAAAAATAAGTATTAGTTCTATCTGTGCGCGGGCTGGCTTCTTTCTTGTAAAAATACAAATTACAGTAAATAGGGTTGTTGGAAATATATCGATATATGTTTATTGGTTAGCCACCACACAAGTATAAGAAATATCAACAACAGCTGCTGTAAATGTTTGGAAGTTACAATTAGTGCTATAATATAATATCGATATCCCATATTGAGATTTTTGTTTTACGGTTTTTGGTAACACTGTTTTGGAGAACAGTGTGACCTGTGCTGTTGACGGCAGTGTCGGAGTCGGAGTTTAGTTACGTGTTGAAATATTAGTAACTGTGAAAATTGTGCAAATTATTATAAACAATTAGCAAAAAGGTAAGTGTAATATCTCTGCGTTACACTTAACTCAACAAAGTTATGTAAAGCAATATTTAGATTGTGGCAAGTGCCGAACGTATATAGCTGCTAAGGCTCCGCTGGTCAGCCAAACGAGACACACACGCATATATACACGCGCATACACTCACAGCTATATGCATACACACATTTGTGTATTTCGTCGAATCAGCAGCAGCAGCAGCGAGTGGCCTKTCAGACAGAAAACAAAATGTCGACCATTTGCATTTTTTGATAGCTTTTTAGACAAAATTTGATTCTTTTCGTGTGCATTTATTGATTGCAACAAGTACTTAATAATACATTTTGTTAACCTATGCATGACAATATGCGAAAAACCACGCAATTCTAGTGTTACGGAGTGTGCAGCGATAAAGTTTTGCCAGAGGTAAAGCGAACAAAAACGATATTGATTTTTACATTGGCTTTAAGTGTAAAGAAAATTCTCGAGCCTGATCCACAAATAATGATTGGAGGTACATTAGGCCAATTTTAAATGTTCTTTATAAGCTGAGAAGTTATTAATCGGAAATGGGAAATATATGGTTGCCAAGGTTCTTCTGCACTTGGCTGGCAACGCTGATCAGCACAGCATTGTTGCTGCGTGTCCTACCAAATGCAAATATGTGTGCGTTACTGCCTTTTTAAGAGTGTGTGCGTGTATATAAAGTGATTTGTTTAATTCTATTTTAAAAATGATATGTGTATTTATTAATATACAATAAGCATGCATCATTTTTTTTCGGACTGATGCGCAGCATCTTAAGTTTTTTACTTTCTCTTTTATTTATGCTCAGAGTCCAAGAGTGTGTGTGTTCGTCTGTGTATGCCTGTGTCTGTGTGTTCGCCTCCCTCAATGCAGTCACGGTGAATTTCATGCGCACCGTATTTTATTTGTATTTAATTTTGGCCTCTTGTCAGCTTTTTATATGGCTTTCAGTGTGCATTGTGGTGCGCGTGTGTTTTTCTGTTTGTACATTCATATGCACATATATGTATACATAAGTAAATAAATATATGTACATATTATCTATTTGTTTAGCTTTTATGGTCACATTGCATTGAGCTGCGCTGAAGGTTTGTTCTGGTGATTGGCAACTCGTGCTCAATTTTTGCAAGTAATGCTCCACAGCAGCCGGAATATGATCGCCATTTGAATATATTTACAAAGGCTTATAGAATTCATAAGCGTCGTGTGTGACGTCACTGAGAAGTTAGGGACAATGGGAAACTGCTCAAGCGACAGCCGCTAAGCAACAAGAATCAAGGTCACATTTTAATGTTTGTTTGTTTGCTTAAAATTATCGATTACTGAACTTTCGGACATCGAATGTAATTAACGCTGGTAGCACCAGCCGCTAGAATGCCAGTATAATTGTATTACCCGTGTGGTAACGCAGACAACCTGGCAGAATTCAACCTTGAAAGTTGATTGAACTGCAAAGGAAAATATTTTGACCCCAACGCACGCCAGAGCAGTGAATTGACCGCCAGATTGTGTCGTCGACGCCTACGGGTTACATATACATAATTTGATTTCCGTTGTCGAGAGTGAGCAGCAGCTACCGTCCTTTAATACACTTCCACTTGCAGCCAGTTGGGCCATGTAGACGCCTTCCTTTTTTCCAGTGCAGCGAATAAAAACAAAATCCTGTTGTTTGTGTGAGTGTGTGTTTTGTCGGCGGCTTTGTGTGTATAGCGAACGAGTGTGTGAGAGAGTTCTGTGTGTGTGTGTTTCATTTGCTTTACTCTTTCCACGCTGTTTCGCCCCCTCAAAAACCCAAAACACAACTCGAACTTGCTTTGCGCTTTGTCTGCACTTCGCCTGGCTGACTTTGCTAGCCGTGCATATGTGTGTATGTGTGTATGTATATAGATTTATTTGTGTATAAGTGCGCCTTTGTACATTGAACTCGGCTGGCAGGCCCAGTGCTCTGTCCTATTCCTGGAGTCGTCTCGAGTTGCGAGTCTGTCACGTTCCGCATTTGTCTTCTCTTTTATACCCCGAACCCATTGAAAATGGGATATTGAGGTATAATGGTTTTGTTAAAATGTATGTAACAGGCAGAAGTAGACATGGTAGAGCCCATTTATTATATATATTCTTGATCATGGCGACGGGCTGAGTCTATGCCTTTAGAAATTGGAGTAGCACTCTCCTAGTTGGGCGCTCCCGACGAGTTTTCTCACATGTTTTACATTTCACTTATTTTTCTAGTTTCACTAAAGGCTGATCATGGCAATTATTTCAGTTTTTTGTTCCATTAGCGCATGTTTATATGTATATTCGTTTACAGATCGTGTTTGTAACTTTCCTTCAAGTCTTCCATTGTAAAATGAAATAAACGGAAAAATCTATAACTATGACAATATGAATGAATATAAATTTTGTAAAAATTTAGTCTACAAAATATTAATTTGGTTAATAGGCTGTAGGGTATACGAATTTCACCTTACTTTCTGGTGTAGTTTTGCAATTCTTCTTTGTGCTGCTTCTCTACCTTTTTTTTTTTTGACAGCCAGCGTTTGATTTTTCTTTTCTTTTTCTTGTTCTTTTTTTTCGTGTTGCGCGTCGTCGTCGCATCCTTCAGCAACTGGTCTCTGAATGCCATGAAGTTCCGTGCCAAGATGCTGGACGTGCTCTACATGCGCGAGTTTCAGGCGATTGCCGCCACGTTGGCCAAGCTGGCCAAGGATTGCGTCATGATAGTGGCACAGGAGCGAATGCATTTCATTGTGAACGAGGAGCATTGCTCGACCTCATCGCCGCTTGTGTGGGTCAGCATAGCGTCCAAAGACTATTTTCCAGAGTACCAAATGACGCCAGCACGGCCAGAACAGGAGTTCATCGTGCTGGTCATGTCCGCAATGCATCTCAGTCGGTCTCTTGCTGTCCTGCGGTCCGGCTCCAGCAGCAGCGTCCACAGCTGTAAGCTGAATCTAAAGCAAATACAATTTCCCTGCATCTCGGTAATAGCATCTGTGGTGTCACCCAATTCCTCTGAGCCGCGTGAGGTGGTGCACGACGTGCCCGTGACTGTGATCCCGGCCAGCGATTGGCCCTCGTTTATGCTGCCCAAAGTGCCCAACACTCAGATTGTGCTCGGCGTTCCATCGCTTCGACTGCTGCGCAGTCTGATTGATAAGTTAAAAAACATATCGCCCAGTCTTATATTCCATGGCAGCACAGCCGGCGAACTAAATCTGGTAGCCGAATCTGAAATGGCCACCATAACAACACGTTTCAGTCGCCTGCTACTGCACAAGCCCGATCAAGGACAGTCGGGTGCTGGGGCAGAGACTAGTGAGCCGGAAATCTCGTGCTCCGTGGATACACGCAAGGCATCTGCATTCTTCAATGCACTCCAGTTGCCCAATGAGGAAATTATGATCGGCATAGATAGTGAACGTTGCATCTGCCTGCAACTGGACATTCGCAGCAATGTGGTTTTACATTCCATTCTGCCAGCAGTTTGTGTTTAAATTTAATGATTAAAGTGAAGCGAAATAAAATGATATCGATATGCATATGTGCGTGCGCTAAATATCGATATGCAAATGGGCAAGAATATCATCGATAAGCGAAAGTTTTTTTTTTTGTTTCTTTTGAGTTTGTTGTTTTACTTTGTTTTCTTTATTTATGCTCTCTTTGCTGCTCGCCCCAATTTGGCAGCGACGGCTGTGCAGGCCGTGGCCTCTTTTCCGTTGTGCAGCGATGGCGACGGCAACGCTGACGCTGACTGAGCTCTCGCTCTTTTGAGCTGTTGCATTGCCTGTTTCATATGTGTTTGTATACATGTATGTGGTATACATTGYTGTTTGTTTGTTTGCATATTTATTGTGTTTTTTGTTACTGGTTTTACAACCTCATCTGTTTGCTCACTCGCGATTGCCAGCTAGTTGCATTTAAGGCACGCTGTTGTTGTTTCTCTAGCACACTGCATTTGCAGGTGAGTAGCTTTTCAAGTAGGCCAGCAGCGACGTCGACTGCGCAGCGTGGGTCGCTCAAAATCGTGCTCACAGCGATTCGCACACAGGTCAACAGCCATTTTGGGTACGATTGTGTCTTATTCAACGAAAGAAAATCAAATTGAAATGTTATCTATCTTAAAATAAACAAGTGGCTGTTATTTATATCAGCCTCTGTCTGGCTGCTAGAAGTGCCCTACGTGGCTGTTATATGTATGGAGTTTTAAAAAAAAATAGAACTATTTTGGTGCCCCTGCGTGTCGACTGTCAGGTCAGTTTTCGGACACCTTATTAGAGGATTGCTCACAAACTATACGTTAATATATTAACAAATATATAAATGTGCATGTATGTAATAAACAGCTGTTTGTGTAACCCAAGAGTTAAACCCAAACACGAACGCATACATACACATCATTCTCTTGATCAGCTGATCAGGTCAATATTAATCTCACTCCAACAGGGCAATCACAGGTAAAAGAAAAAAATAATTCCAGCGAGCAACGAGTACACATTCAACCCCCGAATACATCAGAGTGCGCTCCTAGACTTTCATGCGCTCGCTCTCACTCTTTCGCTCTCTTTGCCCGCAGCCATTTTGAGTGAATTGGAATTTCATTTTAGAACTAAGCGGTTCTTTATCTGTTAAATTTTATTCCATTTAGTAGATGTTAAGCAATGTTTTAAAGCGGCAGTTAATTTTGTTTTTGTAAATAAAAATAAATAAAAAGTAGGTTAGTGCAGCTACTGAGTCGGTTTGTTGACCTCATTGCCAGTTAGCGGCAAGGGTTGAGTGACCTGCTTAACGGGTCTCTGAGTGTCTTTGTCGCCAGCTGTGACTCAACTAAACCAGTTATTTGTCTCATCTATTTAAATTAGATATTGATATTAAATTGGCATTTATATTGATTGCATTTGTTCGACTTGATTAACAATTCTATATACAATACTGTATACAAAGAATATTAAATTTAACGTACATTTTGTGTGATTGTGTGGGTCTTAAAATGGATTCTCGTCTGAATCACTCTCACTCATTTTTCGCTCATTCGCTCGCTCTCTCGTTTCGTTTCATTTCGTTCACACGGGGTCGCCATTGACGTCGCTGCTGTCAGTCGTGAGTTGGCTTTCAGTGCGTGCACAGCTGTAAAATGGTTCGTAGAAACGTATTTTTTCTACATACCTGTGTGTGACCAAGTACATAATGTAAAGCAAAGGTGCAGTAAATATTTATATAATTAAAAAGTACATTCATTAAATATTACGATGCAACATTTTTATTGAAATGCTTGTTGCTGCATTCGTTTATTTCAAGTAATTTTTGCCTACGGTTTGCTTGCGTTACGTACACACGTATACATACCCTCGACTATAAGACCGTGCGTGTATGTGTGAGAGAGAAATATTGGGGCTGTGTGAGTCTGTGTTAGTGTATCGTCGTCATGTGTTTGCCCCTCGTGCGTTCTCTTTCATGCACAAGCCGAGGTAAGCAACAACGTTGATGTCGCTGCTTCTGTTCCCTTTTGTATTTATACTGGAAATCGACAGTCGTCAGCAAAGGAAGCACAACAAATTTAAAGGAAAAATAAATAAGGGAAATAGTCATTAAGTTAAAACTTGCTCTGAATTTGAGAAACTATTTTAACAATCTGTATTTTCATTTCGATGCTATTAAAGTGCAGCAAATATGTGTGTTGTCTATTATATTTACTCGCTCTCTTTGTGTGTGTATAACAGTATATAGGCTTGCTCGTATATTCAAGTGGCTTATATAGCACATTCGTATATAACACTTGGTATATGTATATAAATGCCCATCAATGACGTATGTACGTTTGTATGTGAATGTGTTTGTTTGCAGCTACATTTTCTACCGCGATTAGCAACAAGTATTTTGTTTTATATATTCTTGACCGTACTGTTGTTATTGGAACTTTATGAAGACCTGAATCGGCTCTTGTTGCAGACATTATATTGCAAGGCAAGCGAAACAATAACAGTGGCAAGGTTTCTGTTTAATTGTTGCATGCGCTTAGCCCACCAGGGCTGCCACATACACATACGCATGCTAGAGTGCTTTATTGCGTTCTTTTCGTTTAGTAGCTTGGCTTTAACTGCGTCGCAACGCGACACGAAAAATTTCCAATGCAACTTGCTTTACGGTTAAGTTGCCACAGTGACGACGGGCCCTTTGATAGTCCCCCACTCTACCCTGTAGAAAGCGCTGCTGCACACACACATAAACATAATACACACCCCACTTTCCTAGTGTGCTCTCACTCGCACATTTGCTGCTCAGCTGTGCGTAGGCCACAAAAGCAGTTTCGTAATAGAAAATAGAAAACCAGTGAAGAAACACAAAATGAAAATGAAAAAAAAAAAAAAAAAAAAAATTAGAAAACTTGATGGGCAACACTGTTTGCAGTCCGTTATGTAGCGTCGTCATATGCTCGACTGAGTTTACAGCATATACATACATATATAGCATATAAATACATGTGTGGGTATATATACATATATACAAATAAGTTACAAGCAATACGCACAATTGTAAGGGGTAGCAGTTAATGGTTGGGCGGAGTGGAAACATACAAATATTCTTATCAGCATTATGTTTGCCAGAAGGGTGGGCGAAAGGTATCTGCGATGGACAGGGTTTCGAGGAAGTAGACAATAATACATACATATAGTTCTGTACAGGGAAAGCTCGTTACAGCGTCTCACATTGTAAAACAAAAATGATGAAATTTAAGACATTAAGTTACAAAATGAATTTATTCCTTTAAAGTGGTTCTTATTTAATAACTTGTTTAGCTATAACTTTGTATCTATATATAATAATATATATGTATGTATGTATGTACAAGTCGAGGCCCTTTTATTTTTCAATTGCTGATAAAGCATTGACAAACAAACCACATGCCATATGTTGGAGCTGCCACACGCGAGGAAAATGCTCACTCTTGCACGCATATATATACATACTTACGTACATGTATATACAGTATATACGACACTACCATTTGCGGCCTCGCACATTTTTTTTTTTTTTTTTGTATTGTTTATGTATTTATTTATTAAAATTTTTTTTTTTTTTGTGTGAAAAACTTGTGGCAGCATGATAGACAAAACTAGCGAAAAAAATCAAATTCAAACACATTTTCATGTCGGCAGTGTTTTGCTGGTTTCATTTAAAATGGCCTTGAACTCAATTCGTTTTACTGTGATTGACGGTTGGTTTTGCTGGTTTTCGTGTCAGATTTGAGTAGCTGACAAATTAATATGAGGGCGCACACACAAACTACGCACTTATTTTGTATAGTGTAGACAAGACGATGTGAACTCGCTGCCTGCGTTGCAAAGGGCGACGTTGCCGTTGCCGCCAACACGTTTCGCTGTGCTGCGTTGCTGCTACAATTGCCTTTTGCTTGTTTTGCTTTTTATCTTTTGTTCGTCGCGTGTGCTTATTGTATTTTCATACGTATCTATGCATGTATGAGACTGTATACGTGTATATATAAATGCGGGATCGTGCATTGCGTTCTCGCAGCGACGAAACAAGCATGACAAGTCACACACACACACTCCCAACGAACACACTCTCATACACACATACAACGAGTTCCAACTCGTTGCTCGCTCGCTCGCACATACATAGGAAGAAGGGGCAGTCAGCCAACAGCACAGCGTAGCGCTGCTTACGAAAACCAAAACATAAACAAAACGGCCGAGAACAGCTGATTAACAGCACAGCATGTGCGCGCTCACTTTATGTAAGCTCTATCTCTGTGTGTATATGAGTTGAGTGCAATATAGACGAATTCCACTCAAAACAAGTTGCTTGCTAACATCTGCGCGCTCGCTCTCGCTCTCTTTCTATAGGGCATATGCACGTGTTGGTGACTGCTGCTGCTGCAAACAGCTGTTAATTTATTAACATATCTGTATGTGTTTACTGCGCACATATGTTGTTGAAATGTGCTCAATTGCTTGTGTGCGAGCGAGCGAGTGAGTGAGTGCGCGTGTGGGTATATTTATATATGTGTTTTGATGGTGGTGTTTTCTCTAGTGTGCTGCTGCTTATCAATTTTCATGTCTGCTGGCTTTTCCTTTATTCTGCATACATGCGAGTACCTGTCTGAAAGGGGCACCAAATCTGCTACAATCCTCAGCGACAGCGACCGGTTCTTTGTTCAGCCTTACTTTACGCACACAGACTACCCTCTGTGCACTTCCTATTTTGCTTTCACTGATCTTTTTACTTTACATTCATTCTTCACCCCAATAGTCATTAGGTCAGTGCTCAGTGTTTCTTTTACTAATTTCGAATTGTATTCGGTTGCGACGTCATTTATTATATTTTGTTCTGTTTTATTTTATTACGTTGCTAAGTTGTGGCTGTTGATGTACAACTAACTTAACAAATTTATCGATTGCCAATATTCGCCTTGCTGTCAATTTGATGTAAACGACGGCAAACGTCAAGAAATAATAATACTATCAAAAATAAAATAAAACATTCAAGCTCACTAAACAACTTTTGTGCTCTATTATTTTTTACAGCACAAAACTCTCCGCTGCTTGCAATAAGTACGAAATACGCAGCGTGCACTCAGCAACTAAGTTAATAGAAAACCAAACCAAGTCCAATAAACTCGGAAACTGTGTGTAAAAACCAATTAATAATATAGGTCTATCGCCAAGGCTCTGCTGTCTTTGGGGCCCACATTAAAGGAACAACAACGCCAGGAAATAAACGTGCGGTTGACTTTATTTATTATTTAGGACAAGAATTTAGAATTAAGAGACCAATTTATAATTGCAAACAATTATCCGTGAAGCTGGCATGTTAAGTGTGTTCGATGCCAGTGCGGTTAAGTGTCGTCTATGGCCGAGTCCGTTAAAAGTCAAACGCTCTCTGCATTGACGGAGGGGCAGCACGACGGTAGTACAACAACAGCAACAATAGCTGCCACCGGCAATACACAACGGCGCTGCAACAATTATAACAGTCACAATAATAACAACAACAAAAGCAATAACAACAAGAAACGCAATTCAGCAACAACAGCRACATCCACGACAACAATAGCTGCTGCTGCTGCTCCTTCTGCCGCATCCTTCGGTCGTCGTTCGCGCAGTAAGAGTCGTAGCCTTACAGCAATTGTAGCAGCAGCAACAACAACAACAACCAGCGGGAACAGCAAGATTAACAGGAAA